GGTGTGTGGCATATGCAAATGAGTTGCGCAAATGAGCTCCTGCAACTCTTTTCCTAGGGAATGACCCCTATCTGAAGAAGTGAGCAGTGACTCAGGAAAGCCCCTACCCTACCACAAATTTTGTTAGTCTTTAAGGTGCTCATGGACTCTTGGTCTTTTCTGCTGCTACAGACAGACTAACACAGCTCCCCATCTTGAGGCCAGTAAGAGTCTTTGCACAGTGTAACTTTACCTGCAAAAGGTGGTAACTTAATTCCCAGGACTGAAACCTTCCTCCCTCTGCGATTGGTTTCTCATTGGAGGGGATATCAGCCAAGAGGCGATGATACGCTGAAGGTGCTCTTAACCCCCAGCTCCAGTAAGGAGATACTTTTGAACATATTCTGTCTGGGCTCTGTTTTGAATGAGGGGCTCCCTGTTGACAATGGTAGAGGTGGAGATTCAGAGCTTATCCAGAATTTAGCCTGGGGGGGAGGATAACGCCGTAAAGAGTTGATGTAACGAGCCATCCCCAGACAACTTCTGAAGTAAGTATTTTAATTTTTCGCTTTGGGAATAAGGGTTTTTTTCCTCTTCCACCAGGATAGTCAGGCATATTTTAAAGGGTGTGTCTGCAAGGAAGGGAAGTGAATCTCTCTTGGCTAACAAACCAAATCAGGCACATGATGGAGAGGCTTTCCAAAACTGGAGGTGAGTTCCCCTGGATAAACAAACCGGATCACACAAATTGAGCAAGTTGAATAAGAGGGGGAGAGATGCACTCCTCGCCTCGGTGCACCTTTGGTCTCCTGGCAAGGTTGTACCGATGGCTTCTAATTAGGCCATGTGGGATGGGGAAGACGTGGTTGGTGATCTCTGGGGGGTAGAGAGTAGAAAGTACTTTGCTTCATGTCCCAAGGTGGGTTGTGGCCAGAGAGCTCAGGCAAACTGCCAAAGCTACCGCTTCCTTCTGAAGCAGAGAAAGGAAGGCTACGAGACTGAAATCGCAGTGGCACTGCAAGGCCTTGTGAAGGGTGGGCCTGAGGGCTTATGGCACCCGAGGCAAATTACAACTTTGGTGTCTCCCAATGTACATTTTTTTGGCCCTCAACTTACGGTGACCCACTAGGGTTTTCAAGGCTATTTCAAGGCTATCAGTGGCTATTAGCCAAAAGGTATAGATGGAACACTCTGTTTAGGGCAGTGATGCTCTGTATTCTTGGTGCTTGGGGGGTGGCAACAGTGGGAGGTGTTAGATCGCGCCTAACAAAGACCCGGAGAGTGATTTCAACCAAAGTGATCAGCTTTATTGGAGATACAAACAAGCGCTTGAATTCAGTCATAACCAGAATAACTTAACATTGGGAGCTAGGCTCCTTTTAAACATTCCCGGGCTAATGTAGCCACGCCCATTTACAATTAACAACCAATGAGGTGGTGCGGATAAGGACCAATGAAAGTTCTTCCCGTTCGGGGAATTAGTCCTTTCCTGATTGGCCGCTGTTGTCGAGCAACCAATAGCACGTTAGTGCGGAGGAGCCTTCAACTGGCTCGAAGCTTAACATGGGAGGTGAATGAGGCGATTCATATAAGCCTTTCAATATACTACAGGAGGGTTCCGTGGCAGCAGTCAGCGAGCGAGCGATATCGAAGGTCGAGCTCAGTGCGCAGTGTGGTGCTGGTGGGCGCTGGGCTGGCTCAACAGGATCCCACGTTTGTTGCCAGTGTTAAATCCTGGGTTCTGGATGCTTTGCAGTGATCAGCTCTAGTTCAGGAACACAACAAGGACGCCCAGCAGGGTTTGAGCCCTGCTTATAAACATGCAAACACCGCACCACACACACACAAACTCCCAAGGATAGGCTATTTACATTATGCTGCTTATCTATAGGTCAATTCCAGGATCCTGGTCAGCTATTGTTCTTGGGGAGCAAGCTCACCCAGTTCAAGGTCCACAGTCAGGGATGGCTTAGGCTCAATAAATAACAAGAGGAGTGGGGAATCAGATTAGAGTCTGCCACTCTTAACCACTACACCAAACTGGCTCTTATGTTCTTACAAGAAGCGGGACCTGCAATACTCATGGGGGGGAGTATTCCCCTCAGCTCCTGGGTAGCTGAAGCAGCAGGAGCTCCACTGGGAGGAGGAGGAGGAGGCGGCTGCAGGTGAGCCCAGCAGATGGTCTGCCGGGCCCATCAGGCTTCCCTCCTCCTGCCAACAGCAGCAATGTCCACAGCCTCCGCGGCCACCAGCAACAATGGTGGGGAGCCCTGCGTGGCTCTGCCAGTTCCTAGTGATAAGTGCATTCTCTGCGCACGCGCAGGGAACGCTCTTTTACTTTGGGGGGATTTAAGTATCCCCCGTATAGTTTTTTCAGCATTTCAGATTTTTCTGCACACCTGGAAAGCCAATGCTCCCTCTAAGCTGTGGAGTCTTGTGAGCAAAAACTTTACTTTGTGAGCTCCTGGCATTAAAGTTGTGAGCCAGTGATTTGCCTGCTGAATAAATTAGTTTGCTCTGGAGCCCTCCTCCCTGAGCTGAGACAAAAATGTGTCAGCCAGAGGCTAAAAAACTGTGAGCCAGCTCACACTGACTCATCTTAGAGGGACCACTGCTGGGGAGTGCCTGAAGTGTGCAGGAAAATCTCCTTGCCCCCTGTGTTCCTCAGATGTGTGGATTTAGATATCCGCACAGAGGGGACAACTTGGCTATTAGATATATAGATGTGCTTAAGGCAAGAGACATTCAGAGGCTGCCTGCCTGCGTCATGACCCTGGTCTTCCTTGGTGGTCTCCCATCCAAATACTAACCAGGGCCGACCCTGCTTAGCTTCTGAGATTGAATGAGATGAGGCTGGCCTGAGCTATCCAGGATAGGGCTCCAATGGACATATAATGACATAATGAGACATCAGATAGCTTATGATGAGAGCCAGTTTGGTGTAGTGGTTAGGAGCGCGGACTCCCCACTCCTTCACTTGCACCTGGCTGGATGACCTTGGGCAAGCCGTAGTTCTCATAAGAGCTGCTCGTGAAAAAGAGCAGTTTCTGTCAAGAGCTCTCTCAGGCCCACCTACCTCACAGGGTGTCTGTTGTGGGGAGGGGAAGGGAAAGGAGTTTGTAAGCCCCTCTGAGACACCTTTGGGTAGTGAAGGGCGGGGTATAAATCCAAGTCTCCAGGCGTTTCCCAACCTGGAGCGAGCAACCCTTTCCCCCCATCCCCCCGCCAGTGGCCAGGAGTCGCACAGTCGAGTTCGACTCTTCGCGACCCCATGGACCAGATCACGCCAGCCCTTCCTGCCCTCCGCCGTCCTCTGAAGTTTGCTCAACTTCATGTTCGTTGCATCTATGACACTGTCTAACCATCTCATCCTTTGCCGTCCCCGTCTTCTTTGACCTTCAATCTTTCCCAGCATCAGGGTCTTCTCCAGTGAGGGCTCCCTTCTCATTTGGTGGCCAAACTCTGACCCCTCTAGTTATCTGTATCAATTACTTTCTGAATCTGCCAATGATCATGAGCTTCCCAGCAGAATCTCAGTGGCTTGTTACCCCCACAGTGCAGTTTTATGGGGAGCCACCTTGAAAAGTACTGAGACTGATGCATCGTAGAGTAAATTTCAGCTCATATTTTAGGAGGAGGAGGAGAGGAGATTGGATTTATACCCCGCCCTTCACTACCCAAAGGTGTCTCAGAGCGGCTTACAAACTCCTTTCTCTTCCCCTCCCCACAGCAGACTCCCTGGGAGGTAGGTGGGGCCGAGAGAGCTCTGACAGAAACTGTTCTTTTCCAAGAACAGCTCTTGTCAGAACTACGGCTTGCCCAAGGTCATCCAGCAGGTGCAAGTGGAGGAGTGGGGAATCAAACCCCTAATCTACCAGATTAGAGTCCGCGCACTTAAACTACTACACCAGACTGGCTTTACTTCGTGATTTCAGAAAAATAGGAGATACAGACGCTAGCCCGCAGGCTGCTTATATTTCGATAAACAACCACACCCCTAACACACACCCATGATAGGCTATATACAAGGTTTACACTCTTACAGGCTCTCTGTAGAATCCCTACTCGCCGGTTGGCGGGTTTTAGGATCCTAGGGCTCTATTGTCCCTGGGGACGAAGCTTCGCTAGTATGTTGGGCCACGCGGCGGCCCGACCATGTGTGTGGTTCAGCTAGTACACAACACACCTGAACCTGAAAGATGACGGCTTACGGGTGCAAAGAACCCTGCACATTTCTTTTTGCCATCAAATCAAGGCATGAGACGTTCAGAAGTGGTTTGCCATTGCAGCCATGACCTGGATAGCCCAGGCAAGCCAGATCTCGGAAGCTAAGCAGGGCCAACCCTGGCAAGCATTTGGATGGGAGACCTCCAAGGAATACCAGGGTCGGGAGGCAGAGGCAGGCTATCCAGCCACTTCTCCGAACATCCTCCATGCTCCACTAGGAGTTGCTAGAGATTGCCATGACTTACGGGCACACACACACAAATGCAGAAATACCAAAATAAAAACCCATAAAAAATAAGTGGTTTGCCATTGCCTCCCTCTGTATCATGGCCCTGGTATTCCTTGGTGGTCCCTCTTCCAAGTGCTAGAGAGCCAGTTTGGTGTAGTGGTTAAAAGCAGGGACTCTAATCTGGGAGAAGAGGGTTTGATTCCCCACTCCTCCACATGCAGCTGCTGGTGTGACTTTGGGTCAGTCACAAGTTCTTTCAGAGCTGTTCTCTCAGGAGCAGTCCTTGAAAGAGCTCTCTCAGCCCCACCTACTTCACAGGGTGTCTGTTGTGGGGAGGGGAAGGGAATTGTAAGCTGCTTTGAATAAATAAACAAAGCTGCTTTCAATAAATAAATAATAAAGCTACAAACGCAGCAGCGTTACTTTACCAGGTTACTCAGCTTACAAAGCTACACAGAGGCATGTTGCAAGTTTAGAAGAGAAATACTTCTCTCTTTATTTGAGAAGTACACTTTGGATAGGAAAGAGTCGGGACAGGATAGAGTACTAATTTACTAGCTAAAGAATGGAAGCGGATGGCGAGAGGCCCGTCTGCCTCTTGGCGCCAAGAGAGGACAGCATGTCATCCCTCTTGGTGCGTTCATCGTCCTCATCTGAGAGAGTGAACAGAAAGAAGGAAATTGTCCCTGAGAACACAATTTCAAAGGGGACAGTGGCAGAAGCGTAAAGACAGGAAGAAACGTCAGTGTGCCTATCTAGCCATCTAGTCTCTCTTGCCACGAAGTCTTGCCATGAAGTCTGGAGGACTTCGCACCTGGAACTTCCAACAGAGGGCAATAGCAAAGCACCTCTGAATGTCTCTTGCCTTCAGACCCAACGGTGTTGCCCTTAAGTCAGCTGTGACGTGACAGGGAAAAAAATCTCTGGGCATGTGAGGAACATATTTGTCCTGAGCATCTGGAGCAGGCGTTTTATCTTGCCCTGCCTCAGTAACTGGGTCGGGCCTCAGGGCTTCCATCAGAGTGTGAGCCCCAGTGTCTTTCCATGTAGGCAGGAGGCACTGAACTGTCCACCTTCCCTTTTCCTTTGCAGAGCATCCAAGGCCAAATCGGAGATGAAGAGCCTCAGAGCTCGGTTTAAGAAGTCGGATGTGAGTAAAAGCTGCCTGTGTGGATGTGGAAAACCAACATACAACAAGTACCGTGCACAGATGATTATAACATATCATAAATAATTTTATATTTTTGAAAAATATTTTTACAATAATTAATCATCTTAATCACAATTCACAATATAAGAGATATCAAAGATATCAAATATCATCTCCAAGAATCTAAAAAGCTATTGCACAACCTTATAATTAATTATAGTCCTCCTCTGTTAAATAAAAGTTTTAAAAGGGAGGACTCCTTAAAGTCTTTTTATAACATGCGCTCTGTTGTGGGGAGGGGAAGGAGACTGTGAGCCGCTCTGAGACTCCTTCTGTAGTGAAGGGCGGGGTATAAATCCAAACTCCTCCGCCGCTGCCACCTCTTCTTCTTCTTCCCCACTCTTCCACATGCAGCTGCCAGTGTGACCTTGGGTCAGTTACAAGTTCTCTCAGAGCTGTTCTCTCAGGAGCCGTTCTCTCAGAGATCTCTCAGCTCCACCTGCCTCACAGGGTGTCTGTTGTGGGGAGGGGAAGGGAAAGGAGATTGTAAACCGCTCTGAGACTCCTCCGGGTAGTGAAGGGTGGGGTATAAATCCAATTTCGTCTTCTTCTTCTTATCTGTATTTAACTGAAACTAATCATCATGTTGAATGCAGATCAATGGACTGGGTTCAAGGGTTCCCTTCCCTAAGAGTATTTCATGAGGAAGAAAAAGAAGTGAAGAGGAAATTGAATTTATACCCTGCCCTTCACTTGGAGTCTCAGAGCAGTTTGCAATCTCCTTTCCCTCCCCCTCCCCACAACAGACACCCTGTGAGGTAGGTGGGGCTGAGAGAGCTCTTTTGAGAATGGCTCCTGAGAGAACAGCTCTGACAGAACTATGGCTTGACCAAGGTCATCCAGCAGGTGCAAGTCGAGGAGTGGGGAATCAAACCTGGTTCTCTCAGATTAGAGTCTGCGCACTTAACCACGACACCAAACTGGCTCTAAACTAAATCCACTTAGGGACACTCCTGAAATTCTCCCGTTTCAAATTTCTCACTGAATTCTGAAGTTCTGAATTATTTTCTATGAGGCGGATTCTTGCCTTGCCAAGGGGTGCGCCAGTGGCATTAATGAGGGCTGAACTGGGAATGACCTCGTTGAATGCCAGAGTCAATGTCATAATTCTATCCTATTGGAGAAAATGTTTAGAATGACCCCAGGATTCCCTGGGGGGTTTAAGTTTTAGTTTGCACTTGAAAGCCTCCAAGAGATTAGGTGACCAGTTGGCCTCGATTCAATTGAAATTTTCAATTCCTGATGATCTTTTAAGGAATAAAACCCAAGCACGGGAACTGGAGGAATGGGTGTTCAGAAAGGATGGGCTTATGGATCAGGATGTGATGGCACATTATCTTACGGCGCCATTATTCAAGCTTTTTAAAAGGGATCACTGTCGGTCCCTGTATTTAGAGAAGTTCACCAGCCTGGAATTAAGATCAGCTTTTACAGCTTTTAAGATTTCAGTCCATGCCCTCAAAGATCAGGACCGGATGTTTCTTTGGTATCCCTGCCCCCCTTTACCAAGCCCATCTTGGAACAGAAATTCCCCTCTGCATTGCGTGCTGCTTTCACTTCCTTTGATCATTGGATTTTATAGTACTCTCCAGACTGCCTGCTGCTTTCGCTTTCTTTGATCATTGGGTTTTATGGTACCTTCTGCATAGATTTATGGTTGTTCAGGGGTGACTTTGCAGTCAGTATGGCGTTGCCCCGGGCAGGGGTCATTTAATAGAAAAAGAGGTGCAGGAGCTCATTAGCATAACTCATTAGCATAACTTATTTGCGTATGCCACACCCCCTGACATCACCGGAAGTGTGTCAGAAGGCAACACCCACTGCTCAGGCTCCACTGGACTTACGGTTGCCAAGTTGTACCTTCATCTGGAGTGGGGGACTCCCAGTTTGCTCCTGGAGAGCGCGCGTTTTCCCTCAGATGACCGTGGCCCTGCCCACAGCGTGCCCGGCGTGGCCGCGTCACTTCTGGGTGATGTGCATGTTGCGTACTTTGGGGGTGGGGTTCCCCCCGGGGCCCAATCCGCCCCCCCCGGGGACTTGGCAAGCCTACCCTCAATGCAGGATGGTTGCCAATTCCTGCTTCGGCAATTCCTTGAGATTTGCAGGTGTGGGCTGGAGCGGGGGTTCTGCAACTTACCTGGCTGCTGCTTGCTCTGACTGAGGGCTGCTGGGAGCAGGGGGTGGGGCTTGTTGCATGTGCCCTCCCCCTGGGCTTCTTACTGCCAGAGCTCCGCTCCTGTGCGCTCCCGCAGGAGATGACCCCTGGCCCTGGGGGATTTTATGTGGTCTTGAGCTGCACCTCTCCTCAGTGTTGAGAGAATGTGGAGCACATGCCAGATGCAGAATCGCCCAGTGCCTAGTGTTGCAGTTTGGTGCCCAAAATGGGCCCGTTATTCTGAGCTGTGCTTGCTGGGTGACCTCAGGCTTTGGGTTGGGAAATTCCTGGAGATTTGGTGGCGATGCCTAGGGAGGGCAGAGTTGGGAGAGAGGCGGGAGCTCAGCAGGCGTGTGACACCATCCTCTGTGCCCCTCTGAAGTGGCCATTTCCCCCAGGGGAGCTGAGCTCCAGGGAGAAATTGTAGTGCCAGGCCGTGCCTGGGGATTGACAGCCCTCCTGCTCACACTTGCAGGACCCGGCAAGTGCAGGAACAGCCACAGGACTGGCAGCGTGCAAAGAGAGAAGAGAGCTGTAGCAGGAGAATACTGATTTAGAAAACCAGAAGCGGTCCTGCTTTCTACATCTACTTCACAAATGGTGGAGGAGATGGGCGGGGGGCCCTCAGTGGTACAGCATCTGCTTGGCATGAAGAATCACCGATATCTCCAGTTAAAGGATCTGGCAGTACGTGAGGTGAAAGACCTTTGTCCGAGTTCATGGAGAGCTGCCGGCAGTCTGGGTAGACTGACTTTGAGGGACCAGCGGTCTTATTCAGAACAAGTGACCTGGCCATTGAATGATTCCCCCCCTCCCACACACACACACACACACACACACACACACACACACACACACACACAGAGGTCACCTGGCACCGTGACCTATCCAGCGACTTCCTTCCGGGATCGGGAGGGAAGGAGGGAGGGAGGGGAAGTATAACATCTCTTTGGTGTAGGGGTTAAGTGCGCGGACTCTAATCTGGGAGAACCGGGTTTGATTTCCCACTCCTCCACTTGCACCTGCTGATGTGCCTTGGGTCAGTCACAAGCTCTGGCACAGCTGTTCCTGAAAGAGCAGTTTGTGTCAAGAGCTCTCTCAGCCCCACCCACCTCACAGGGTGTCTGTTGTGGGGAGGGGAAGGGAAAGGAGTTTGTAAGCCACTCTGAGACTCCAAGTGAAGGGCGGGGTATAAATCCAATCTCCTCCTCCTCCTCCTCCTCCTCCTCTTCTTCTTCTTCTTCTTGTTTCTTGGTGGATGGTATGGGGAAGAAATTAGTTGGGGGGGCATGCAACCTGGAGGGAAACTGAGGCACAGGCAAAGCAAAGGAGGAAGAAGCCAAACATGCAGAAGTTTAGTAGATGGTGAACCCTTTCCTGCGAAGAAGAAGAAGAGAAGGAGGAGATTGGATTTATAGCCCAAACTTCCCTACCTGAATGAGTCTCAGAGTGGCTTACAATTCCGAGCCCTTCCCCTCCCCACAAGAAGAGGAGGAGACGATTGGATTTATACCCCACCATTCAGTTCCCCAAGGAGTCCCAGAGTGGCTTACAATCTCCTTTCCCTTTCCCTCCCCACAACAGACACTCTGTGAGGTAGGCGGGGCTGAGAGAGCTCTCCCGAGAACTACCCTTGAGAGAACAGCTCTGAGAGAACATGTGACTGACCCAAGGTCACACCAGCAGCTGCATGTGGAGGAGGAGTGGGGAATCAAACCTGGTTCTCCCAGATTAGTCAGCCCTCCTAACCACTACACCAAGATTAAAACAACCGGCCAAGCTTGACCTGTTGACTTAAGCCACCCTCAAAGGCTTAAGAAAGGAAGAAAACTGGCAGCCTGGCAGGAGGCTTCCCGAGCTCTGTCGTGGAGAACCTTCACGCCCAAAGTCCCACAAGTTATTATTAAATAGGAAAGCAATAATATGTCCAGTTGCGTCCGTGCACCTGGCCAAATGCCCCGATCCAGGATCTCTGCCTGCCAGGCCCCCACGGCCAGCCACTCGACAGTGCAAGCCGAGAGCCACAGGAGGTTGTATGCCGCTATTCCCACGGCTGTGGGGTGGCAGACCTCAACCCGAACCCCAGCTTGGGCAAGGGAGAGAGGGCGGCCAGATCACATGCCCTACTGCCCACGTGGCAGCGGGAGACTGAGGAGGCATGATTCCAAGCAGAGCTGAGCCCCACCACCTATCCCCCCCCCCCAAGAAAAGAAGCAGGGAGAATGATGAACCCCTCCCCATTTCTTCTCCCTGGGAGAATGCATCCCCT